CTACTTCCAGAAACATTCAGCTTTGATATTAATGAGTTTTTTGGGTTCATTGAGAACATGGTTGTTGTTCAATAATAAAATTATTCCTCAAAAGTACAACTTGCCTAATAATTCTGCACTCCCTGTATTAGTTTAGTATAGTATAATGTGTAGTAATTAATGTTGTTGATCTATGCTATAATAAAAAAGCCAATCATTGCATTTTAACAGTTACAAGTTACTCCTTCTTATCATTTAGGGAAAGACTTGGCAGACAAGCTTGATTGCAAATGATTCCTTCTTATCTCTACCTTACTCAGGTACCGATTTGGCAGACAAGCTTCCCACCACTCCTCGTCTCATTAAAACTCATCTGCCAGTCCAGTTTGTACCAAAGTCCTTCTGGGAGCAGCGCTGCAGGGTAAAAATCATGCAAACCTGTAGTCATAGAGACATGGGATTTATGAAACCCACAGAGCATAATTTAGTTTTGCCTTTTTCTGTAGGTGGTTTATATGGCCCGCAATGCAAAAGACAATGTAGTGTCCTATTTCCACTTTAACCGCATGAACAGTGCCCTGCCAGAACCAGGAGACTGGAGCACCTTTCTGCAGGACTTCATGGAGGGAAAGAGTGAGTTCTGTTTAGTTTCAGTGTAAAGGAAAAATAATATCATCATATTTCCCATGTTAACGTTCCTTTGTGTGTTCTGTGTCTGCAGGGGTTTATGGATCGTGGTATGACCATGTGAACGGCTGGTGGGAGAAGAAGCAAACTTATTCAGATTTTCACTACATGTTCTATGAAGATTTGATTGAGGTACAGCACTGAGTTTGGCTAACGTGTGCCGACTGACAGTTATGTCATCTGCATCAACCACATTTTCACTCTTCATAGCAGTTCTTGCTTCCTCCTCACTAATCCTCTGAACTTCCTGATTCACTATCTGTTTTCCATCTGTCCGCTACCTCTCATATTCTTCGTTCATCAACTCCTCGGAGAACTCCTTCCACTTTTCCACACACACTCTTTATTTGTTAGTACAGTTCCATCTCGATACCGATACTTAATCATCCTCACCTGCTACACATCCTTTCCAGCAAGATCCTTCTAGCAAGCAGGTGAGTGTTCCAGCTCCAGTAAGTCCTTTTACAGGTTATAGGTATTGATGGGACTGAAGGCAGGACAGAAATCCTCAAAGTCCCAGAGAGAGAACATAGAATAGGAATCCAGATGAGGAATGAAGTGGCTACAGCAGAGAGAACACAATATTGATTCATAGGAAACTAAGTGCAGAATTCTAACAATGAAAGTCTGATTACCATCACCGAGGTGAAGACGACCTGGTGGTGTTCTGCTGCCCACCCAGATATCAATACAGTGGAGGAAGAAAGGAAGGTGTAGGAAGGACTGATCAGAGAGCAAAGCTCTGTCCAAAGGTGGAGCCTACCACGCCACGTGAAACTCAAAGACATGTTAAAAACACAACAAAAACAAAGAATTATCCATCCTGCCCCAGCTTGACAAGAACTTGACCACTCTGGTATGGAAATCTCCGATATCCATATTATCTCTGTTGATGATATGGATGCTTAATTTGGGAAAAGATTTATGACATTTCCTTCCTTCCTGATGCAACACTCCCCATTTATCTGGGATTGGACCCGACATTAGGAGTTTTGCAAAGAAGAATGGGCAAGGATTTCAGTCTCTAGATGTGCAAAGCTGGTAGAGACATACCCTAAAAGACTGGCAGCTGTAATTGCAGCAAAAGGTGGTTCTACAAAGTATTGACTCAGGGAGCTGAATAATTACGCACACCCCACAATGTGGAAAAGTTCAAGGGGGCTGAATACTTTTTGCAAGCCACTGTAGATGTAGTATCAGAAGTTTAAACATTAACCAGCTACAAGTGAGCATTTATTCATTGCCATCATTACTAATAATTAAGAAAAAAAGATCAAATTTGACATCTTCAAATTGAAAGTTCATTAAAAATAAAGAAACACATAAATGAAATCTGTTTTTTTGTTAATCTTGAAGGTTTGACATTTTAAGATGCATAAAAAAAATCAAAATTGTCACATATTTAAAGGGAAGTCTGTCGAATCCTAATATCTCCCAAGGAGAGCATCTCGCACCAAATTTGTCTTGATGAAAAAGTATTATAGTCATACAGTACTACAGACCAAAAGAAGAAAAATTAATAAAATTTAGGGATGAAACATCTCTTTTAAACTCATTCATATTTTCATTTATGTGAACAGGACTATGAAAAAGAAATAGACCGACTGTGTTCCTTCCTTGGTTTGTCTCCATCAGCTGAAGAGAAGGAAAGAATCAAAGCCAGTGTGACGTTTGACAGCATGAAGCAAAACAAGATGACCAACTATACCACAGCTCGCAAGCTGAACCACGAGGTTTCTCCTTTTATGAGAAAAGGTAAAAGTGCCTGCTGGGAAACTTTAGTTTTTTCTCAGTATAGGCACCAATATATGTTCAGTTTATTATTAGGATAATCAAATACTTTGAATGTTCTCCTTCTCCAGGGAAAGTTGGTGACTGGAAGAACCACTTCACTGTGGCCCAGAATGAGCAGTTTGATGAAGACTACAAGAAGAAGATGAAGAATCCTGATTTGAAGTTTCGCTGTGAAATTCAAAGAGCGGGCTAGAGCTGAGAAGTGATATGCAATTAAATAGTTAAGAATAAATCAAATATTAAGCCTGAACAACTGAATTCTCTTACATTGTGGTGCTGTTGGCTATCTATCAGCTTAACCTCCCAGGACCTGGCATCCACATATGTGGACATTACATTTTGGGTTGTGGAGACCAAACTACTAAATTTTGCTCTACAAAGGGCCTGATATCTACTAATGAGGACATTATACTGCCACTGTTCTATTGAAATTTAAAATGAATGTCCTCTTATGAGGATCCCATTTTTCTCAAACACAAAAATCAGGTAAAAACAAAAAACAAAAAAAAATCAGCTAATCCTTTGTTTTTACATTCATCAGGTCCCAATCAGCCCAAATAGCAAAGAGAAATTAAAAATGCATGCCATGAAAGAGTTTGGGTCTTAGGAGGTTAAGAAAAAGGAGGATGAAGGAACATGTGTCATTTTTACTGAACATATTTAACTAACTGATTGTTAATGGTTAGTTTGTCTGACTTTATGCTACTGGGTTTGAAATTAAGAGACCCAGCTGGGCATGACGGTGGGAAAAAGCTGGAGTACCAGGAGTGAATCCACACAGGAACCAGAGTTCATTCTGTAATTTCCCAGCTTAAAAAACATTTATCCTCAACTTAAAAACTACACTACCTGAATAAACTAAACTTTGTTTATTTCTCAAATGAATATGTTTCAGTACTTAATAATTTGGCCACACATAAAGTGTAATGTGGGAATGTTGTCTATATAGAATCATAGATCTGGTATGAATCAAGAAAAAGAAGCAGAAAACTTTTTACATTCACACAGTTATGGCAAGCAGCTCTCAGCTGTGTAGAGATAGTAGGCTGCTGTTGTATGTTGGATTTCATTTTTATTAAACACAGCTGTTTTAATTCTGTTAAAAGACTTGTGTTTTTATTCTTCTGTCATCGATGTGCAGGTTATTGCAGTGTTTACTCTTTTGTACAGCAAAACAATCAATCCAGCCTTCAGTCTGTTCATTATTGATTTATTTATTTTGGTCAAGTTGAATGAACCTAGCTTATCTGACTTCATAGCACTGGATCAGTATAAATGCACACATTTCAGAAAATGGTGCGGTGTGTTCCAGTGAATAACAAAGGTCTTTTGTTTGGAAGACAGAAAAAGACCCTCAATAGAAATACCTACATTAACTTTCTTTTCGAGAACAAAGTTTGCAATCTTGAGCTCAAGTGCAGAAATAAATTGACAATACAGCCCCTCACTGTGCTTTTGGCTTCCATGCATTGATCATCAGGTTTTACAATAAAAGCACAACGTGTACACGTAAAATTAAGGTATTTGGAGTGTTTATTATTCCACTGTATAATTCTGTCACATGTATGCCACAGTTTGTTTAGATGAGATCTTTGTAATACACACTGCACAGCAGTAGCTGCATACTATATCCAGTCTGTATGCCTGGCTCTGTTCAAATTTCAGTGCAGAACTGAAGTGTGGGATCTTTCATCTTCTTGTAGTCTTCATCAAAAACGTCATTCTGAGCGACGGTGAAGTGGTTCTTCCAGTCGCCAACCTTCCCTGCAGAAAATAAATAAATAAAAAATAAATAAATAATATAATAATAATAATAATAATAATAATAATAATAATACAGGTATTTTCCCCTAATGTTACCAAATGCATC